GAACAGGGACCCTGGAAGGAGGGAAGAGCAGGTGGGCACACAGTGCTTTCCTGCTCAGCTTGCAGATGGGTTTGCTGGGAACTGGGGAGGCCCCAGAGCTAAGTGCCACGGAGACTGGATGAGGGCAAGTTGTCTTCGGCTCCTGGGCCAGCAGCCCTTTTGTGCTAGATTTCTCGGACCAAACTCTCACGCCTAACCTTTTAAGAGCCCACTGCATTCTCCCCCTGGTGATTAGCAACAACCGGATCCTCCTCCTGCTGCTGCAGTTGTCCTTACTATTATTTTTAATAGAAACGGCGAGTGAGGGCCTGCTTTGTGCCGCACCAGTGTTTCCCAGGGTGATGATAAAAGGCACCCTGCGAGGAGGGTTCTGTGCTTGTGATGTTTGGGAAACCCAGAGTGGAGCCAAGTGGAACCATCCTTCCCCACAGGACTTCCCGGACTTCCAGCCCACAGCAGTGGCGCCTCCAGGAGGGACTGCGCGGCTCTAGACGTTTGATCAGGGAAGCTTTTTGTTGCTGCTGTCGTGTAGCATCTCATGGGATGAGCCCGGGTCTCCCCGGTGCTCCGTCGTTCTCCCTCCGAGGAGGGAGCCGAGGCTGCAGCCACCCATGTGGCCACGGGAGCCGGGTCCCAGGGCTTCTCAGAGTCCTGGGGCTGCGCCCCCTAGTCTTGGGTACAGGCTGGTTGCCTGCAGAGACCCCGGGCCAGCCCTCCTTGAGGCCATCCTGCCAGCGTGCTCCGCCCCTCCCCTGGCCCCCAGAAGTCAGATCCTGCGGGTGCCACCAGCGAGCTTTAGACCAGACTCCTTCATGTGATAGCATTTACTGGGGTTTCGTCCCGCTCTAAAAGTTAGTCACGTTTACTGCAGGAAATTAGAGAAGGCAGAAGTGTATTTCGGAAAATAAATAACTGACCCTGGCAATTCCATCTCAATGTCCCAAAGGAGGTATAACCCTGGGAAACAATTCTAAATAGCCATGAAAATTGTTTTTGAAGCATATATCATGAAAGGGAAAATACAGTGTAATACTATTTTTTAAGTTTTACTTTTATTTAAGTAATCTTTACCCCCGACGTGGGGTTCAAACTCACAACCCCAAGATCAAAGAGTCACACACTCTACTGACTGGCCAGCCAGGCGCCCCTACAGTGTAATACTACTATTAAGGGGAAATGCAGGGCCAAGGAGAGAATACTATGTCACCAAAATTTTGTGAAATATAAAAAAAAATGTAAAAAAGAGATATATCCCTGCATTATATGCAAGGAAAAAAGATTAGAAGGATGTATGCCAAATTGTTAACATAAGTTAACATAAGTAGAGGTCCTTTGGCTCATTTTTCTTTTCTTCTTAGACTTTTTCCTGAAATGAGTATATATTACTTTTATCAGCAGGGGGGAAAAGGCGTACGGAAATTTGCTTTGTTATTCTAGCTCATGTCCACTGAGGCCGCAGGAGGTTTTAGCTGATGTCCCTTCCCAGTCCCTCCTCTGAGCTGTGTTTTCCCCGGCCACCCAAACTCCATCCCCCTGTTCCTGGAAACCATTCACATGATCTGAGAATCACAAAGTTTTAACAGCCCAAATGTATCTCCTCGTCTCTCCCTTTCACCCTGAGCCCACAAAGACTCCCTCCTCAGGCCAGGTGCCCAGGGCTGTTCTCCTCAGGAATCTGGTTTCCACGGAGGGAAGGACCCTAGGGCACCGCTGCGACCCCTGGAGGGGCCTGGACTCTGATGATAAGGGCATATAAACAGCAGAGGCAGGGGCTGGGGAGGGGGGTGGCACGGGAGCTGGGTGTCAAAGGACAGATGTCAGGAGGCCAGAAGAAAAGTGGGGAAGGTCTTCCTGGCAGAGCGAACAGCAAGTGCAGAGCCCCAGAGGCTGCGTTCTGGGACCTGCCGTGAACAGGAAAGGGAGGAGGAAGGCGAGGGCGAAGACTGGCTCTTATTATGGGATGGCACTATCGGGGCGTCATTCCTGGTCTGCGTCCGTGTGGAGTGGAAGAAACTTGTGCTGGGAATAATGGGGCTCCTGGAGGGACCAGGGGTGTGGGCATAAACAGAAGTCTGGGACCAGGTATCCAGGTGGGAGAGGAAGAGGCTGAGTGGGGCTGGGCCATGGAACGGAGAGGAGGGGATGGGACAAGCAGGGCCGGTGGGGGACTGGCGGGCCCCAGCGCGTGTCAGGCTCACGTCCCTGATTTTCAGTTAGATGGTGCAGTAGGGGGCTCTCTGCCGCAAGGGCCGCCCTCCACAGGCTCTGATCCCAACGGTGCACACGTTACTGAACGCCAACAAGAGCCCCCAAGTGCTCTCCAGCGATCGCAGTGTGGCCTCCAAAGTGGCTCTCATTCTCCCTTCACGGCCAGCCCTGGATGGGAGGCCCAGAGAGTCCAGCCACCAGGCCCCATAGCCAGGAGGTGGGGACGGGATGCAAACCAGGCTCTGTCTTCACTGCGCAGATGGTGTCCGAGCCACTGGCCACCTCCGTGGGCCTCCGTTCCCGCCTTTCGGAAACGGGCACTAACAGTCCTAGTTCATAAAGCTGCTGGAGGATAAAACGCAGCTGTGTTCACAAAGCCTCGAGGAGTCAAGGAAGCGCCTGGTAACCTGCACGGCCTAACAGGATGGCCACACTGGCCACACAGGGCCACTGAGCGCATGGGCTGTAAACCACACATGGAGTTTCGAAGACTGTGTGCAAAAAGAGGGTAAAATATCTCCTTCGTAAGTTCTCATCTTGATTACATGTTGAAATCGTAATATTTTAGACATATTGGGTTAAATAAACATATTAAAATTGATTTCACCTGTTTTGGTTTTGGTTTTCTTTTTTTAATGTGGCTTCTAGGAAATTTAAAAAGTAAATATGTAGTTCACATTGTATTTCTGCTGAGTAGCACTGACGTGAGTAGTGGCTGTTGCTACTCTGTGATTATGACAGTGTCAGGAATATTATTGTTCCTTATGCTGGGTGCCTCTCAAGTACGGTCTTTTTAAAAAATAATTATTTATTTACTTATATATCTTTTTTTTTTTTTAAAGTAGGCTCCAAGCCCCAACGCGGAGCTTGAACTCATGACCCTAAGATCAAGACCTGAGCTGGGATCAAGAGTCGGACACTTAACCGACTGAGCCAACCAGGTGCCCCTAAAAAAGCTTTTTAAAGTGTTTTGCTACTTATTATAAAAGTACCTTGGGTTCATTAAAGAAATAAGTAAATAAAAATTGTCCATAATCCCTGACAGCTGGAGTTCACTGCCAAGAAGAGCCTGGAGTATGTACTTACGGTCTTTTCTTGGTGCATATACGAGTATAGCTAATTCTTCAGCTTCTTTTTAAAATTCTACAAAGTCACAGGGTGCCTGGCTGGCTCAGACGGTGGAGCGTGCAACTCTTGATAAGGTTGTGAGTTTGATCCCCACACTGGGCGTAGGGATTATGTAAAAATAAAAACTTTAAATAAAATAAACCCTACAAGGCCGTGACCACATAGTATGCTGTTTGGAGTTCTCTATTTCCCCTTCAATATTATAACGCAAGCATTCCCTCAAGGCATTAACCAGGCTTCACAAATGCCACGTGATGCCTGCGTGATCGGCCACGCCTCAGTAGACCCGGCACTGTGACTACTAAGGAGAATCTGGTAAGATTCTGCCTCCCGGGCCCAGCCCAGCACCGCCCCTCCTGTGGCCCCTCAGTCTCTGCCCTGAGAGGTGGCAACCAAGTTCAGGGGATAAGAGGCGGGACTCTGGAGACAGATGGCCTCAGTCAGATAGCAAGTCTGTCATCTCCTCCTTTGTGACCTTGGGCGAGTCACTGCACCTCTCTCCGCCCCCCGCTAAGATGGAGATAATTCATAATCCCTCCTGTGAAGCCCTTGAGGCCAGATGTTCTGACATCTGCTGGTAAACGGTGAGGCACTAATGTCCAGCGCATATTTTATACCGCCCGCTGGGACCTTCTACCCCTTAGCAAGTGTGGGACTAGTTCTAGAGTGAAGTGTTTGAATAGTCACATGAGAGGGATCAATAAAAGCTCTAAATAGCTTCACATGAGTTCTGATCAGGCTCTACCACCGAATGGTATTTTGGTGCCAAAGTTAGGGAAAATCTTCCGGTTTTCGGGGCTTTATGGATTTCACAGTCCCAGATACTGAGTAAGTACCTATCTCGTAGGACAGTTTGGCAGATTAAATGAGTTGTTGCCCATAAAGCATTTAGAATGGTGTCTGGTGCCAAAAAGGGGCTCAGTGCCTGTTAGCTGGTGGTGTAAGTATTTTTTTAATCTTTTTTCCTGAGGTGTAATTTACATGTAACAAAATGCCCCTGTTTTCGGTATAGTTTGGGGAGTTTTGACAGTCTTATTCATCCAGATAGCCGCCACCCCAGCTGAGAACATTTCCATCACCCCAGAAAGCTCTCTCATGCCCTTTGCCAGCCTGGCCTCCCCCCACACACTTAGAGACCACCACTTAGCACATGTAGGACGTGGGATGGACGGGACCCTACCGCTCACACTCCTTCACGTCTGGCTTCTTTTGCTCAACACGACGCCCGCCCATGAGATTGGTCGTGTGTATCCATAGTTGCTTCCTTCTCAGGAGCCACAGTGTTCCACGGTGCGGACACACAGCGTGGGTCCTCGAGCGGTTGGCAGACATTCGGGTCATGTCTGGTTAGGCCATAATGAACACAGGCGCTGTGAGCACCCATCACAAAACCTGGGAAGGACAACTGCTCCCCTCTCCCTCCGGGAAACACTCGGGAGTGGGCGGGCCCGGTCGTAAGTAACGTGGGTCATAACGTGTGTCACGGTGTGTTGAGCCTCGTGAGGAACAAACTGTTTCCCAAAGGGGTCTTCCGGTCTCACACTCCCACCCGCAAAGAGGGAGGGGCGGCCGCTCCGCACTCGCACGGGCCAGGCGTGGGGTCGCTGCGGTGATTACCAGTCGTTCAGGCCTCGTTGACTGGTGTCTCCCCTCCCCCACCCCAGGTGATCCGGACGGACACGTTCAAGCACCTGCGGCACCTGGAGATCCTGCAGCTGAGCAAGAACCTGGTGCGCAAAATCGAGGTGGGTGCCTTCAATGGGCTGCCCAGCCTCAACACGCTGGAGCTGTTCGACAACCGGCTCACGACGGTGCCCACGCAGGCCTTCGAGTACCTGTCCAAGCTGCGGGAGCTCTGGCTGCGCAACAACCCCATCGAAAGCATCCCTTCGTACGCCTTCAACCGCGTGCCCTCCCTGCGGCGCCTGGACCTGGGCGAGCTCAAGCGGCTGGAGTACATCTCGGAGGCGGCCTTCGAGGGCCTGGTCAACCTGCGCTACCTCAATCTGGGCATGTGCAACCTCAAGGACATCCCCAACCTGACGGCCCTGGTGCGCCTGGAGGAGTTGGAGCTGTCAGGCAACCGGCTGGACCTGATCCGCCCGGGCTCCTTCCAGGGCCTCACCAGCCTGCGCAAGCTGTGGCTCATGCACGCCCAGGTGGCCACCATCGAGCGCAACGCCTTCGACGACCTCAAGTCGCTGGAGGAGCTCAACCTGTCCCACAACAACCTGATGTCGCTGCCCCACGACCTCTTCACGCCCCTGCACCGCCTGGAGCGCGTCCACCTCAACCATAACCCCTGGCACTGCAACTGCGACGTGCTCTGGCTGAGCTGGTGGCTCAAGGAGACGGTGCCCAGCAACACGACGTGCTGCGCCCGCTGCCACGCGCCCGCCGGCCTCAAGGGCCGCTACATCGGCGAGCTGGACCAGTCGCACTTCACCTGCTACGCGCCGGTCATCGTGGAGCCGCCCACGGACCTGAACGTCACCGAGGGCATGGCCGCCGAGCTCAAGTGTCGCACGGGCACCTCCATGACCTCCGTCAACTGGCTGACGCCCAACGGCACCCTCATGACCCACGGCTCCTACCGCGTGCGCATCTCCGTCCTGCACGACGGCACGCTCAACTTCACCAACGTCACGGTGCAGGACACGGGCCAGTACACGTGCATGGTGACGAACTCGGCCGGGAACACCACCGCCTCGGCCACGCTCAACGTCTCGGCCGTGGACCCCGTGGCGGCCGGCGGTGCCGGCGGCGGGGGCGGCGGGGGCGCCCCGGGAGGCGGCGGCGGCGGCGGCGGGGGCGGCGGGGGCGGCGGCGGCTACACCTACTTCACCACCGTGACCGTGGAGACCCTGGAGACGCAGCCCGGAGAGGAGACCCTGCAGCCGCGGGGGACAGAGAAGGAGCCGCCGGGGCCCACGACGGACGGGGTCTGGGGCGGGGGCCGGCCCGGGGACGCCGCCGGCCCGGCCTCGTCGTCCACCACGGCGCCCGCCCCGCGCTCCTCGCGGCCCACGGAGAAGGCGTTCACGGTGCCCATCACGGACGTGACGGAGAACGCCCTCAAGGACCTGGACGACGTCATGAAGACCACCAAGATCATCATCGGCTGCTTCGTGGCCATCACGTTCATGGCCGCCGTGATGCTCGTGGCCTTCTACAAGCTGCGCAAGCAGCACCAGCTCCACAAGCACCACGGGCCCACGCGCACCGTGGAGATCATCAACGTGGAGGACGAGCTGCCTGCCGCCTCGGCCGTGTCCGTGGCCGCCGCCGCCGCCGTGGCCGGTGCGGGGGGCGTCGGCGGGGACAGCCACCTGGCCCTGCCCGCCCTGGAGCGCGACCACCTCAACCACCACCACTACGTGGCGGCCGCCTTCAAGGCGCACTACAGCGGGAACCCCAGCGGCGGGGGCTGCGGGGGCAAGGGCCCCCCGGGGCTCAACTCCATCCACGAACCTCTGCTCTTCAAGAGCGGCTCCAAGGAGAATGTGCAAGAGACGCAGATCTGAAGCCGCCGGGCGGGCCCGCCCCCCCCCCCCCCGGGGCTCGGGCCACACCGGGACCCTCCCCACGGCCCCGGCCCCCCGCAGGGAAGGTCGGGGAAGGAGGGGCCGCAGCCCCGCCCGCGTGCGCACCCCAGGGCGGCTCACCCCCCGCGAGGACAGGGCGGGGGCTCCGGGAACGGAGCCCCCGCGGTTCTGGCCGCACCCCCCCCATCCCAGGCGAAGGGAGGGGCTGCAGGATTCCGGAGAAGTGGCTGGAACCCTCCGCTTTTCCTCCTCGCGCTCGCAACCGACCCTTCCCGGCCCTCCGCCTTCCAGGAAGAGAGAGGAGCTTTTGGGGGGGTGTCCTTTCCCCTCATCCCCAACGACCCTCCTTTTACGGTTCATTTTTTGCAGTTTGACGCCCGTCCCCCCTCCCGCCCCTCTGCCCTCGAAACTGAAGAGACAGACGCGCGGTCGGAGCCCCCAGACACCGTCCCCCGCCCCTCCGCCCTTCGCCCCCAGCCCTCACCTGCCCCACAGACTCTTTTGATACTGAAGGGAGGTTTGCGTCAACGACTACCTGCTCTGTAATTACTTTAAAAAAAAAACACGGAAAAAGTAAAAAAAAAAAATATTTTTTTTGGTCATGAAAGCATGGAGGGCACAATGAGGATGGAGAAGTCAAGTGTCATGGGCCCCACCCAGAGGGTCGCAGGGGTCGGCACTTCTGGGTACTCTTAGGCCCCTCACCCTTGACCTCAGGAGCCCCAGAGAGGGGCTCAGGCACCCAGCACATAGGGATGTACTGGGGCCCTCGTCCCCCACCCCACCCCACCCCACCCCCGGGGTTCCACGGGCTGGGGGCTGGGCAACTCCTAGTTACGGGATCCAGGAGTCCAGGATCAAGGTGTGGGCAGGGCCATGCTCCCTCTGGAGCCTGTGGGGGAGGATCCTTCCTTGCCTCCTCCAGCTCAGCTACACTCCAGTCTCCACGTGCCCTTCTCCCCGAGTCTCCCCCTCGTCTTCCTTCCACGCATGCTCTCTGTCCAGATTTCCTCTTATAAGGACCCCCGTCATATGGGATTAGGGCCCACCCTACTCCAGCAGGACGTCATCTTAACTTGATCATCTGCAAAGACTCTGTTTCCAAATAAGGTCACATTCACGGGTCCTGGAGGTCAGGACTTCAGCATATCTTTTTAGGGGACACAATTCAACCCAGAACAGCCAAACCAGAGAGCGTCCGGCCCCTCTGCAAACCCACAAGCCACTGCAGGGAGCGAGGAGGTCAGGCCGAGAGGGGGAAGGCAGGCCGGGCCCAGGGAGCTGCTCTGCCGTCCTGCTTACACAGAGGCAGGAGGGAACAGGAGCCAGCAGGTGGGAGCGAACCCCAGGGGTCGGCCAGGACGGCCGGGTGGCTGCTGGTGGGACCCGCCAGGGCTGCCGTCTTGGGCTGTTGAGCCCCGCACAGGCTGAAGGAAGCAAAGGGTCCACTCGGGGCTGCTCCCGGCAGACGCGGCCCATGGACACGCAGGGCTGCGCCCTCCTCTTCCCCTCGGCGCAGCCGGGCCCCCCCTCCACCCCCGGCAGGCCTGGGCCCTGTGTGCTCTGTGCCCCCTTCTCTGGCTGCCTGTGCGCCACAGTGTCTCATGACTCCCCCACCTGGGACTCCTCCTAAAGCACATTCTTCCCTTAGGGGCCCGACATCCGCCCGCCTCTGCCGCGATGGCCGTCTGGGGTCTCTGGCCCCGTCTGCGTCTGTCTGCTCCTGCCTGTCGACCTGGGACTCTCAGAGCCCGGCTCCCCGTCGCTCCCTTTCATGGTCTCTTTCTCTCCCGTCCTCTTTTCAGCGCGATCCTGGTTGCCATGGCAATACTGCAGCGGGTACCAGGTGGTGGCTGGGGGCAGGGAGCCGCACCGCCGCTGCAGCCTCCGCGGTCTCTGATGCCAGGCACCTGCAGGGCGCCTTGGCTGGGCCTCATTTGGGGGGAACCTCAGGACCTCCGCGGGCCTCACGGACTTCTCCGTGTGGACAGTGGGAGGTGGGGAGGTGGGCGGGGTGTGGGAGTGAGAGAGTGCGGTATTGGGGGGCTGGTGGCATCGTGGCTGGGAGAGGGGTGGATGAAAGCTGAGGAGTCAAGGTGCACTGATGGGCGACCGGACTGGAGCCGGGCTGGGGGCAGGGGCGACAGGGCTGGGTTGGGCCGGGCTCCAGCTCCTGCTGCCTGTGGGAGACGGGCGCGGCCAGGCCAGGCCTCCCTGGGAACTTGGGGTGGGGAGGAAATGCGGGCCTGGCCCAGCTGGGGACAGAATGGCAGCCAGCCCAGAGAAGGCGGGGCGGGGCTGGAGGGCTGGAGGTCCAGGGAGAGAGGCCCGGAGACAGCGACAGGATGGAGGGAGAGAGTCAGGGACAGAATCAAGGGAGGAAAAGATGGAGGAGGAATGTTGACGAGAAACACCGGTGCTGAGACATGGGGTTGGGGGGTGGGTAGCAGGCCTGAGGGTGGGGACCGGAAACTCAGGAGCAAGGGACAGACTGGGAGCCCAGAGTCCCCATCAGCATCTCCTCTCTCTCGCTCCCAACCCTCTCTACCCCCATCCCAAGCAGGATGCAGTTTCCATGACAACCTGCCTGGCCAGAAAGGGGGGCTGGGGACTGCAGAGGAAATTTTCCACATCAGCAGGAAGGGAGGAGGGTAGAAAGCAGGGAAGGAAGGGTCTGGGTATAGTGGGGGCCAACGCAGGGCCCTGGAACCCCAAGTCATCGTGCCCACTGCCCCAGAATCCTCACCCCCACCCCCCACCCCCAGCAAACCTGCACCATCTCCACTGGGCCGCTGTGGGGAAGGGGGAAGGTTCTGGAGAGGATCAAGGGTCAAATGTCCAAAGATCAGCCACTGCCCAGGCCTCGAGGGGAGGGGGGCAGTGAGCAGCTGACAGAGCTCAGGCCTCATGCAGACCACCAGATTCAAGGGCATGGCTCTCGACAGGGTCCCGAGGAGGGTAGGGGTGGTGGGCTACGGCCGCCTTGGTGAGTCACTGACCCTCTTGGGGCCTCTTCCCCAGGCCCCTTCCTGAAGCCCCCAAAGCCCTTTGTCCTCCACAAACACACTTTCATGTGTGTCTATCTGCACCCTGGCTCTGCCTGTGTCTGCCTGAGCACCATCCACTTCCCACCACGGGGCCCCCCCCCCCCCCCCTGGGCCCCCGCCCCCCCCCCCCCCCGGGCCCCCCCCCCCCCCTCTGGGTCCCTGTCCCCCCCCCCCCAAGTCCCTGACCCCCTCTCTCTGGGTCTCTGTCCCCCTCCCTCTGGGTCTCTGTCGCACTCTCACTGAATCTCCCTCCCTCTCTCCAGGACAGTCCCTTGTTTCTCACCTGCTGACTCAGGGACCAGAACTGGGCCTAGAACTTGTTTTTGTCTGGAATCGTGACCCGGGGCGAATGGCAGGGAGTGTGCCCCCTTCCCTGCAGCTCCAGAACCTTGCTGCTCTTGGGGAGAGGTCAGTGATCCCACCATGAAAGACTGGGCCTCCCTGAAGCTCCTGTTCTGGCCTCACTTAGGTGCTGTGATCTCAGGCGAGTCCCTCACCCTCCCTGGGCCAAATGTGAAACAGGACAGGCCATCCTGCTTCCCCTAGCAGGCCAGGGTGAAGAGTGACGGGCCTCTAGAGACTCTGAGGGAATCTGACGAGGGAAGGTCCAATACCTCTCCAAGGCCCTCCCCCCCATCTCTCCCCTCTCCCAGGCACCCTGACCTTGTGGTGGAAGTGGCCCATCCTAAAATAATCCAGGAATCTGGGGCACAAATCCTGCGCCATGCCAATCTCCTGGTGAGCCCTGCCCAGCCTGCCTCAGCCCCACCCCACCCCACCCCACCCCACCCTAAAGTGGGATCTGCCCCCTGACCTCAGCCCCTCCCCACCTTCATCCACCCCAGGTGGGGTCCCCCTCAGCCCTGGCTGACCAGGCCACGGAGCAGCAGCTCCTGGAGGCCTCGCACCGCTGGAACCATGCTGTGTTTGTGGCCCGGGGGGCCCTGTGGGGCACTGAGGACATCACCAGATTGGACACAGCTGGGGGCCTCCAGGTGAGGGCCCGCTGGGCTCCCAGGCGAACCGGAGGGGGCCTACAGAGACCCCCCAGTCCCATGACCCTGGCTGTCACTTCCAGAGTCTTCGCGTCACCATGGCCACGCACCCCGACGGCTTCCGGCTCGAGGGACCACTGGCTGCGGTGCCCAGCACTGGGCGTCGCACTGTGCTCTATGAAGGCCCCGTCCGGGGACTCTGCCCCTTTGCCCCCCGCAACTCCAACACCATGGCGGCCGCCGCACTGGCCGCCCCCAGCCTGGGCTTTGATCGCGTGGTTGGGGTGCTTGTGGCTGATCTCAGGTGAGTGAAGGCGTGTGGGGGGTTCAGGCTGGGGCCGGGCCAGCCAGACTGACCGCCCTGCTTGCCCTAGCCTCACAGACATGCATGTGGTGGAGGTGGAGCTGAGTGGACCCCCGGGCCCCACAGGACGAAGGTTTGCTGTGCACACCCACAGAGAGAATCCTGCGGAGCCAGGCGCTGTCACGGGCTCTGCCACTGTTACCACCTTCTGGCGCAGCCTCCTGGGTGCGGCCCCTCTCCCCAAGCCCTGGGCCCCCGTGCTCCGCCGAGCTTGGGTCTCAGGCTCTGTTTGGTTCTGTCTGTCTCAGTTGACTGATCTTTATTTCTGTGTCTCCTTCACCTTCTACTCCACGGTTTTGGGAATCTTGACAGATCTATCTCTGTCCAGAACTCCTTTCTGAGTTTCTGTATCCTCCTCTCCCTGGGAGCCTATAACCTCTCTCACTGTGTGTCTCCGTCCCCCTCTGGGTCTCGGTCCTTCTCTGTCTTCCTCCACCCCTCACCCTGGTCTGTCCCTCCCATCAGGTGTCTGTCTCTCATCTCTCGAACCCAGGCTTTTATTCCCCGTATCTCCCCCGCAGGCTGCTGCCAGCTCCCCTCCAGGCCGGGGATCCATCTCTGCTGAGAAGCCTC